AATGTCCCATAAACTAATAAAATTGCAGTATCGCAGTTGTTTCATAGGCTAAATGTTCTACACAATTAGATAAATAACTTCAGAATTGATTAAACTACAGATTTAAAATAGTTGTTTCATTATAGTATTTGAAAAAATATTGTTCATGACAAGTGTGTTTTACTCACGAATTTTATGTTATTTTAACTTGATTATTGATTAAATCTTACGAATATTGAACATTTTAATGTGTTTATTAGTGTTATTTTAAAGATAGGTGAGGTAGTGTAATTTATTGCAAAAGTGGAGAAAACAAGACCATTGATATAAATCAAGGAGAAAATATGAACAAAAGGGCATAAGAGTAAAGTTTCTACATCAAACGAAGAAAAATGAGGAATTTAACCTGAGAGTTAGCGCTCTAAGGCAACTAGAAACAGAACAGGGCGCCACCATGAAGAATGGAGGACAGAGGTGTGGTGCTAGGAGTCGAGGCTCCATCGGCGCTGCCTAATGTAACTAGGGTGCATTTTTGGCTCATTTTAAAGTTCATAAAAATTCTAAATTCGGCAAAAACGTGGGAAGAAGTATAAATATAAAAATGGAGGCACTTTTGAGGAGTTCTACATATTAAGATACATAGAACACAACTTGGAGAATTAGAGAGCAAAATCAAAGGAGAAAACACAACAAATCAAAGGTTTGGAATAAGAAGTGGAATTTGATGCAAGATTCATCTACTTCTCTATATCTCAATTCAAAATCCGATAATCTACTCCATTATTTTTATTTGATTTTCTTCATACATTATGAGTATTTAAACTCCTTATTAGGTTAAACAATGTAAACTATTTAAGACCATTTATTTCTTTGATTCAAGGTTATAGTTCTTTCATCATATGTGTTGATTTTATTCATGAATTTAATATTTTGAATTATTTGATCAATAATTGAATGATTTTGTGAATTTTTTACGAATCGAAAGACGAATTTTATATTTAGACTACACGGTAAAATGTGATAAGTTAGTATAACATGCAGAGATACATATGCCAATTATTGCAGTCGTTATATAAATTCTTAGAATAAAAAGTGCGTTTAACTAAAATTGATTTATATAGAGATATATGATTGAATTAGTTAAATATGTTCGATGAGAACCGGAGAGCGGCAAATTGAATATAATCAAAAAAATTTGATCCAACATTATATTCGATTTGTGAATCTTGAATTAAGGCATAAAATTGATCAATAAATGAAATTGTTAAGCCCTAACATCTCATTCAATATTTGAATTTAAAATCAATCTTTGCGTGCATCCTGCTATTTTCAATTAGTAGATATAATTAGAAAAATAATAACAATTCTTTATTTTCATCAAATAAAAGTTACAAATATTAAAATAAGTATTAAAATATAGTTATCGTGAGAAGGATCATCCAGACTCAAAATGTCCACTATGGTACTTGTTACGATATCTTATACTTGCGATATAAAAAAAAAAAAAGCAATAGTTCACGCATTCAATTATTCGTTGCTTTCAACTTCTGAATTATAGAATATAGATGGATGATGAACCTCAATAATAATAAATAACATTACTCTCGAAAGAAATAATTTTAGATTTTTTTATTGTTTACGTATAATATACACACTTTTTGTTTCTATCTATAGAAAGGTTTTTTTAATAGAAGAAGAGGGAAAAAAATAAAAAAAATCCCTAGATCTTGTCCTTGGTGAAGATTTACAACTCGGAGACATCAATTGTGGGTTCTATAAATTAAGAAAGAAATTCCTTGAATTGATTTATTTTATGTTGTCAATGTCATAGGTTAATGCTACTTATTCTTTCCATACCATGCCAAAATGCACTAAGGTATGGGACCACGATCCCAATTATTGATATTGAAAATGATTATTTTTTTAGTTCATATAAAGACAATTGGGTACATATCCACCTCAATTAATATCACTTCATTTGCATTCTAAATATCAAACGATAACAAGATACGAAGTATAGTTTTCATAAATTTGACTTTTTTCTTCACTTGATTCCATCGATTAACTTCCACTACCAAAGAGGTTTATCTTTTCTACTGTGCTATCTAAATTCCTCAATCTAAAACGAAGAAAGGATCGTAATCCTCACACTTAAATGCAAATGAGTAAGCTTTCTAATTCTTTATGTGAGGATATTGACGAATTCAAAGAAATGTGGAGAGAAGAGGACCCAAAATAATAATAATAATAATAATAATAATAATAATAATAATAATAATAATAATAATAATAATAAAAAAGGAGTACATGCAAGGACGAAGTTTTTGAGCCTAACCACAAGGAAGGGAATGCTGAAGTTAGGACTAGTGATTGAAGTGAAGTCATAACAATATAGTCATTTTAGAAAGTACGATTGGATAACCTCCTTTTCAGTGTCAACGAACAAAATTAAAGATCATATTTTGACGTAACAATCTAAATATGCGATGTGTTATCAGTGTAATAAACACCACCCTAATGCTATCTCAATTCTTGGAAGTAGGGGTGAGCCAAAGAGTTGAAATCAACCAAATGAAATTAGAATCAATCGGTTTGGTTAGATTCTGTTCTGCTTAAATTTTAAATGGTCGGATTCTTAAAATCGAGAACCTACTATACACAATAATTTTGTTTTTTAATCAGTTATATTTATTTTTAAATAAGATGAATGATTTTTATTTTACAATATCTAGTATGAAAGGAGAACTTCTCGTTTTCATTAATGAAGCTTATTGTTTGAAGTATGAATGTGTGATTGTTTACTTTTTGTGATAGAACTATATATTGTAGTTTGCGTTGATAATTTAGTTTTTTTAATTATGGAACCGGTCTATAATTATTGAAGAAGTCAATGGTTCTATTATAAGAACTATTATGGGAGAACTTGAAACCGAACCAAAACGAACAATGACTCTCCTACATGTCTACCTAGATTTTTTTTTTTTTTAAATCTTTTTTCAATTTAGACCCAAGTTTTAAACACTAATAAAATTTAAACAAACAATAACTAAAAAAGTCTTTTTGTAGTCATATATATTGTTGTTTAGTATCTTGTAATTTGGATGCTTC